GTTGGAGGCATTTCCAAAAAATAAACGTATCGTTAATTGAACTCTTCACAATGAAGTGTACAATACTTTTATCATGAATTTTTACCAATTGTTAGCAAATTAATTACGAAAATGCTGTTGAAAATATGCTTGTTGATATACGAAAAAGTGTGATTTGATTTATGCATTCAATCTAGATTTATCAGGTCATGTGCTAGCCGAGAACTGAAATGCTTTACCCAACAAAGTTAATTATGGCTCAGAGCGGCGATCCAAAATACTGAAACTCTGTAGCTTTAAACGAAATGTAAGATGATCCGAGTTATTTTCAGACGTTCCGTTGTAATACTGGCCAGTGAGCGTCTGATAAATTTTATACCAGGTTTCAGACATTACACACTGTAAACGTATACGCAGTTGGAAATGATGAAGAAATTCAAATATTTTCATTTCGGTATACCCGTTCAATGCAAATTGACTTACTTCAAATATATGTGATGGACTCTGTTTTGTCTGTTTAAAATCTGTTTTTCCGTTAATCAGATGTCGCATCCCTATGAACGACAACCCTCAGAAGTCCAAACTTGTGCGAGCTAAAGTTTAACGAGGTCTTAACTTTTAACGTGTGATTCCTAACACGAGTTGGACGATAGCAAGTGAAAATCTATCGTTCAGACTGGGGCTTGAACCACCGACCAACACGGCAGTCAATTCGAGTGAGTGAACAAAGCAGCCACGCCGAACCGCCTGGCTACCGACCGACCTAATATCGGCCGATACTTGATGAAAATCCATAAATTATTCAAGAAACCCCTCATTGTGAGATTTTTACTACACAGTTTACGAAACAGCAACACGTGTTTCGGTATACAATAACTTCTTCAGGCGTTTTCTAATATTTTTTCAAGAACCAAACACAAGCACTACAGGAAAATCCTTAAGGTGCTCTCAGAACGGTTCCTGTGCGAAACTAGTGATTCACAGTAGATTTGAATCGCTGAAGATGAAATCCATTTGGAAAAACGTTCTCAGGAAGTTTATTCCACACAAACGCCGTTCGTCAAATGAAAGAGTTCTTAAACAGTGAAGTTCGAGGTGTACTGAGTTGAACCTCAAAATGATGAGCAGCCACAGTCCGTCTCGTATTTCTGATATGTACCGCTCTTGTGACAAGTCACTTGAACACTTCCTATAAAAATATCTATAGGAGAGAGACAAATCTCCAACTTTTCTTTGATATTCCAGACTATCAAAGTTGCAAGTGATATTCACGTCTTCAATCAGGCGGATGACTCTTTTCTGGATGGAATCTAGCAGTTTCAGGGTATGGTTGGCTCCATACATGAGAATAATACTTCAAACAAGATCTGATCTGAGCTTTATAAATCAAAAGTTGTTGAGGTGTGTACAGTTTTCTGGTTTGGAACAGTGTTCCAAGAAGAAGCAGCCTTTGCAATTTCAGCGACATGATTATGCCAAGACATATTGGTGTTCATTTTGACCCCCAACAGACTTATCGAAGCAGAAAGCGGAATAGTCTGACCTGACATTATTATATCCGGTTCCGAAACATTTACCTTTTTGGAGGAAAGCGATGCCTGTGTTTTTGTGGCAGTGAATTGAACTTGGTTAATTTCATCTCATTTCAAAATTACTTCTAGATCCTCATTATGTACTGCAAGTGTGCTGTCGTCAACAAAGCAATAAATTGGATATTTGGTTTTTCCAATGAGTCGTTGATATGATGATGATTTGATGATGTCTTCAACGGAATGGCTACTCCAAAGCGATGGTAGAGAAGACTTTGGCTAAAAGACAGCAGGAGCCTCGCAAGGAAGAGAAATCATCACAACCAGTGCTTGCACTTCCCTATATCAGAGAATTATCGGAGAGGATAAGAAGAATTGGTTCCAAGTACAACATCAGAAACTGCTTCAGATCCGGTAACACTATTCCTAGCAGCCTCACGAAAACTAGGCCACCAAACGCGGACTGCGATTCCAAGAATTGGAACACACAGCAACTCAGGAATAGCAGACCATGTTTGGACCCATCAACACAACATCGAGTGGTCCCAAGCTGAGATCTTGCACAGAGAGGAACATTGGTTTAAGAGAAAATTCAAGGAAGCCGCTCACATGTTGTCCAACAACGTATTCAGCCAGGCCAGCGTAGNGACACTGGGCGATCACGTGAACATTACGCTTCGGTTTTGTTTTACTCTATCTTGGATTTGGATAGACTTTAGAGGTAAATTCGAATTGGGTTCAATTCCACGAAAACCCAGACATCGATTTGCTCTGAAAAGATAAATGTCTCCGAACTGCATATAATAATGTCAGGACAGACAATTCGGCTTCCTGCTTCGATAAGTTTGTTGGAGGTTAAGGTGGACACCAATATGTCTTGGCACAACCATGTCGCTGAAATGGTAAAGGCTGCTCCTCGAAAACTTGGAACACTGTTCCGAACCAGAAAACTGTACAGACCTCAGCAACTTTTGATGCTTTATAAAGCTCAGATCTGACCTTCTTTGGAGCATTGTTTTTATGTATGGAGCTCCACCCCTAAGCATATCCTGAAGCTGCTGGATTCCTTTCAGAAAAGATCCATTCGCCTGTTTGGAGACTTAAACATTCCTTGCAACCTTGTCGGTCTATAATTTGCCAAGTCACATCAAGTGACTTGGCAAATTTGATTCCACCAAGAGCGGTACATATCAGAAATACGCGACGGACTGTGACTGCTCATCGTTTTGGGGTTCAACACAGTACACCTCGAACTTCACTCTTCAAGAACTCTCTCATTTGAAGAATTGCGCTCTCCAGCGATGGAAATCCAACCTTAATCGCTACTTTCCCTCAGGCACCGCTTTTAGAGCGTCTTAAGGATTTTCCTATAGTGCTTGTGTTTTGGCCTTGAAAAAATTACCTGCGTCGCATCGGTGTATGACGCCTCTTGAATTTATTTTATTCGTGTGATTCGTTTTGTTATATCTCGAAGGGATTAAGCATAGTTCCCCTGCTTCGCATGGTTAGCACTGCCGCCCCGACTTTATATGATTGACATCGTCATATTTCAAAGGCATCATTTATGAGTTATACACATAAACTTCCCTCTCAAATAACTCCGTCCATATATGAAAACCGTTCGGTACTTTTTGAGTTCATCACGTTCAGACAGACAGACAGTACATAATATGTATTGATGAATGCATACATCTAATTCTTAATTTTTTTTTCAGAGGAATGTGGCTGGTGCGGAAAAACAGTTGATGAAAATACAGGACTAACATCTTCGTCTGCAATTTTTTGTTCTGAACTCTGCTTCTCACAATCAAGAAGGGCTAGTTTTAAAAAGAATAGAACTTGCGACTGGTGCAAGCATGTGCGTCATACGGTGTCATATGTCGATTTTCAGGTAAACGCATATTTCAATATAATGACTAATTATATCCGCATCCAATGTGATTTTTTATCGATAGCTTCATTTAAAATTTTACTTTATGTTTTGATATAAATACAAGCAAAAAACGTTGGTCAGACATATAGACATAATGTCTGCGGTAGACATTATAATAATGATAATGTGAATTGAAAGGGGTTATATTTTTAGGNATATAGTTTCACGCCAGACTAGCTCTATACAATTTTGTGAGAATAGGTAAAATTATTTCCAGTCCGTTTTGAAGAAGAGCTGGAAATATACCATTCTCTCCGGGAGATTTGAAGGACTGAAACTAACGTTACTGCGGTTTCGTCCTATAAGGACATTTTCAAACGTATACTTATACTTAATGTATAAGTTTGAAAATCTCCTTATAGGACGAAACTGCAGTAACGTTAGTTACAAATAAAGGTGTCAAAAAGATAGAAAGTTTCAATTTTCTTTTATTCATTAATTGTTATATCGTTATAGTACATTTCGAATACAATAAAACTATCCTTTTCCATTTTTTTCATATATTCTGAATTAACAATTCGAATCCCTGTAAATTTCCTTTGACCATTTTACTGCTCCCCACAATAGTTACCTTTTTTCTCATCCATTCTTCTTCATAACCGACTTCACATTGGAAGCAGAATATATATGTCCAATTTTTTGTTGTCAGAATCACATCAGCTTGTCCACGAAGAAGTTTTTCGTATTTACCTGTAGAGCGAAGTTTCGAGGTGAAAGGGACGGAAGGTTCCCTTTTAGTAATTTCAAGAGTATGAGAAAGTATTCCAAAACTTTCCAAAGTATTCTAGAATGATGAAATGTTCTGGAAAATCTTGAAAAATCCCAGAACAATCGAAGGAACGTTTCATTCGACCACAGTCTACTAGCCCGGATTTTGTTCTATTTAATGGTGACTCCGGCCGTGGAATCCATGTTCTAATATTTTGATGATTGTCACTGAATGAAGTTGAACGTATAATTGACAAAAACTTCAATATGGAGTTAAATTGATAGTATCTTCAATTATGAAATACTGAACTGAGAAGCAGTGATGATTTCAATGATAAATATAATTTTAATAACATTATCGATGAACTTGTGAAGAACTGTTTGGAATCTTTGCTGTAATAATGAATATTAATGAAGTTTTATCCCAACAACAAACCGTTATTTTTGAAACCTTGACACGTGTTTCAGTCACCAAGTGATCATCTTCATTATGATTGGTGATTGGCTATGTTAATTCAAATGTATCAATAAGAATCAGCTGTGGTACGTAATGGGACATATTTATACAGTACCTACGTAATATCATCAGGGTCATATGAAAAAATGATAATTTAGTTGGCCGTTATCTAATTTTCGACCCTCTCGTGAATATCGGGAAAAGTTTAATTTCACGACATTATTTGAACATTGCCGAAGAAGAAAATAACTACAATAAACATTTTTCTTGAAGATATGTAGAACACATACACAAGTTTCTTTCAGACAGGAACCAGAAGAAAAAACCATTCCGAAACAACCACTATTACATGAGCTTCATATTTCACGAAAAGTAAAAATCCTCTCGAAAAAATTACTTTTATATGAACATTGTATTGCAAACTGAATGGGAAAAAAAGTAATTTTCGTGTAATTTAATAGAAAACTAAAAGGCTTTTTCCCAACATATCCTGAAAGCCTATTGAAAGTTCATATGACAAGTTTAAATATTTTTGATGATAGAGAAGACTGTTTACAATTCGTATTTATATATTTGTTTCAGTTGTACTAAAAAATATTATGGAAGTTACCGAAAACTTGATACAAGAACATAATTTTATTCAAGGGATAGTCGTTGACAATTAGGTACCTCTCAAGATCATATTTTAGAGTACCTATTTATGTTTCAATATACTTATAAAGCACAATCAAATCCAAGATAGAGTGGATGTAAACATTGACATGCCCTACGCACGTGATATTAAAAATCCCAAGAATTGGCCAGGGTCGTATTCAGAACCAACATCTTGTTGATCGCAAATGCTAGGAAAACTTTTTTATAATAACGAGTGAAATGCACAAGTTTTGCAGTTTAACGGGAAAAATGCAGATAATATGTGTAATAAAAACTTGGCAATAAAACATCTTCATTTATTTCTGAGAGTACTTTGTCTATCGTGGGTATTTCATTTCTGAGAAAGTACGATTGCACTTTCCTCCTAATTGCATGTTTATCAGCATCATCTATTGATTGTATAATAGTTTGACGATTCTGATTTGTATTCGGTTTAGAAAATGTATGATTTTGTTTATATTCCCGTAAAACATTGTAAATCGAAGCGCAGCACATTCCAATTTTATCGGAAACTTTCGATACGACTTCATCGACAGTCGATCTCTCAATTTCTTCTATCTCTTTCTTGAACACATTCAAAATCACTTCTTTCATCTCAACACTCAAATGTCTTTTTTTGGATCGTTTCCTGGCTGGACTCAGAGGACAGCTCACAGTGTCATCAGCAGTGTCCGCACTGGAAAACAATTTTAAACAATATACTATGACGCACGCCACACAAACACGCAAACGACTGATTACAACCCTGTGCTGGTACCGAACTCGTACCAAGAAGGCGAATTCACCAATGAACGCTGCCCTTTCCATCTGACACTGGGCGATCACGTGAACATCACGCTTCAGTTTTGCTTTGTTTTACTCTATCTGGGATTTGGATAGACTTTAGTTATTTATGACTATCGAATTTACTAGAATATACCATGGGGTCGAAAATAATTTTTTGTATCTTTTTCAGGACGGAGCATCCCAACTCCAGTTTTGCTCGGACAAATGTTTGAATCAGTACAAAATGCATATTTTCTGCAGAGAAACCAGAGCTCATCTGGAACTTCACCCGCACTTACACACCGATGAATCAACCAATGGCACTCTGATTACACCTGACCTATGGCTCAGGAACTGCAAATCACCTGAACTGCGACGGCCATCTCCAGAGACTTCTCCGAAACCTCAAGAAAAGAACACGCAGGCTTCACCTTTGCCATTGATATCGATCACACACCCTTCTAAGTTGATGGAGTCTGTTGAACATCGAAAAAATAGGCTCAAACTTCAGAAGAAGTCCAGAAGGAAGTTACCAGCAACAGTGACCTGTAATTCATTTCAGAAAATTCCTCCATGCGATATCCCCCAGGATTTGAGAATAAGACACTCCCCCACTGACTTCGAACATAAGGTCGAACAAGCTTGCCCAATAAAAACACCGGAAGCACCGGTTAATCCTGTAGATCCGCCAAAAGAGCCTAGAGTTCCAAACCCTCACTGCAATTCTCAAACTCACGACGACCCTCAACCTAGAAAATCTATGGATAATCTGTTACCTCCACCTACGTTGATTGTTCCTTACCCTATCATTCTGCCTCTGCCCATTCCAATTCCTATTCCGATACCAATACCAATACTGAGGGAAGAAAAGAAGAATCAGGCAGACAAAAAGGATGGATTCACCCAGACTGAAGAAGAAAAAGTCGAAAAAGCTGAAAAAGACAATGAATGTTTGGTTGTTGAGAAAGATAAAGAAATGAAACATCCAGGTAGACCTCTTAGAAAACGAAAGAAGACATATGAACCTATGGGACGATTAGTTGTTAAAACAAGGAAAGTTATTACAAATTCCAACTGAAACATCAAACTTGTATAGCAGATCAGTCGGAATGGAATGTGTAATTTTTAATCTAATTTATTGAATAAATAATCTAGGGTGAATTAATTATAATTGCGAAATGCCAAGGGGTTGTTGCTACCGACATCAAAGTACATATTATTGGATGGACACATCGGATATACACTTAGAAATAAATATATATTAATAAGGATATTAACTAGTCTTCGTATCGTTGATGAGATATTTATCAAAATGAAATAAATGAATAAAGTCCAGAATTACCATGATATTTATTCTGTTATATCAAGATATGCAAATAAATAAATAATTATGCAATTATACAAATAAGATCATAGAGTTAAAAGGTGATATTTTTGTGTTTCTTCATCTGTTTCGGTTTTTGAGTTATTAAACCACTGAAAATCTGTCAAATGTGGTCTGGAAGTAAGAATAGCAAGGTTTATATGCGGAACTTTGAATTTTCCTACAGAGAACTAGACTATAATGAAAAATACTCCTTTGAGTGAAGTGAATTCAGCTGGAATTCTTTTCTGTAGCAGAGACGTAAAAGATTGTATGCCTATTAATGAAAATCATGGAGAAAACAACTGCAAATGACAATTCACTTTAACTTTTGAACAATTTTTTCACAATGTGTGATAAAGAAAATTTATAGAAAATCCTCCTCATCAGAACTAACTTCATCTTTCTTTTTGCAAATCGGAAGGTTATTATAAAACGAATGAAATTGTTTAGGGACCCATTTCAAACTTTTTATTAAATAATCATGCTTTTTCTTTGTTATTCCTTTTAAATTACTGCGAAGACTAGGTAATTCATCCGGCAATTGTATTGGATTTCGAATAGATCTCAATAGATAGATCACAACACGTGATATCAGAATTTTTTTTTCAGTATTTCTCTTCTTATTAATGAAAGGGGATTTTGGTTGATTGTACAAGTAGTCAACATGTTTAAAATCAGAAAGCTCGTAGTTTTATGACAGTTGCACCTGTTGATCTTATTAATTGTTGCCACTCCCAAGGAGTACATATTTCCATAGTTACACCAGAAAACATAAAAAAAACTCATATTTCCAAAGAAAGCTATAACAAAGCTGATTTCTTATCTCTTGAAGAGTCACCACATTCGAGTCTGTAGATATATGCCAGATTCCAATATTCATAAGCTCTTGAAGAGTCACCACATTCTAGTCTATATATGCCAGATTCCAAATGGAAGAGTTCTCGAAAAGTTAAGTTCGAAGTGTACTGAGTTAAACATCATAACGATGAGCAGCCACAGTCCGTCGCGTATTACTGATATGTACCGCTCTTGGTGGAATCAAATGTGCTAAGTCACTTGAACACTTTCCGTGAGTGAAAAGAGACATACATCTCCAACCTTTCTTCCAGACTATCAAGGTTCCAAGTAATGTTCGCGTCTCCAATCAGGCGGATGGTTCTTTTCTGGATGGAATCCAGCAGCTTCAGGGTATGTTTGGAAGCGGAGCTACGTAAATAAGAACAATACTCCAAAGAAGGTCTGATCTGAGCTTTATCAAGCATCAAAAGTTGCTGAGGTGTGTACAGTTTTCTGGTTCGGAACAGTGTTCCAAGCTTTTGAGAAGCAGCCTTTGTAATTCCAGCGACATGATTGTGCCAAGACATATTGGTGTCCATTGATTACTTTCGCCCCAATTCGAAATTACTTCTAGATCCTCATTAAGATATTCAACCTCCTGCTGCCGGTGAAGATGTGCTTCCACAGCCGATGTCCTAGGATCCAAATGTAATGACGAGATAAGTGTGCTGTCGTCAGCAAAGCAATATATTGAATTTTTGGTTTTTTCCAATAAGTCGTTGATATACAATAAAAAGAAGGTTGGAGACAATATGGATCCCTGGGGAACACCAGCGTTGATGATGAAAGTATTCCAGAGATATTTGTCGACAGCTACTTACAGGGAAAGTTTTCTCAGGAAGCTGAAGAGCCATACACAGAAATGATACGACAAACCATAGCATCGAAGTTTGGCCAGCAAATTCTCATGCCACACACGGTCAAAGGCCTTAGAAATAACAAGCGCAACAGCTCTTGACTCTCCATGTTTCTCGATTGCGTTATTCCAAATATGGGTGACATACGATAGAAGGTCACCTGTTGATCTTTGTTTCCTAAAGCCATTTTGATGATCGCTCAAAGATGTTGAAGCCTTTCAAATATTTGAGAATATGGTGGTTTACGGCTTTCTCCATGATTTTTGTTATCACTGATAGCAAAGCGACTGGTCTATAGTTATTTGGAAGAATTTTCTTGTTCTTCTTGGAAAGAAAGATAATGCTATTGTTTTGTTCAATAATGACCGTGAATTTTATCTTATTGTGGTGAGTGTTAAGGAAATTCAGGAACTGATTCATCTATCTCGTTGAGCCGTCAAAACCCACGAGAATATCATCAACATCTCTAAACCAGAATGAAATGTATTTATGTGATAAGGCATTATTCAGGATACGCCTGTTTTCTGAGTTGTTCATGAAAATATTTGCTGTAGTAAGGGACTCAACGGTGACCCCATTGGGAGGCCTGAACCTGTGAATTTTGACAACTAGTTTAGGATCCATTGGTATTTGGAGCAATCCACAAGTAGCATTTTTGGATCAATACTCAGTAATTTTGATAGATTAGGGAAGTTGAACAACAATCATATTGTTTTGGTAACTCAGATGAGGTATTGATGATTCAGTTAACATTTTGTTATTTCAGGTACAGGTTTAATTAACCTACCTAAATGACATTGACCAAGTATATTATTGTATATTCAAGGACTCATTTGTCAAACTCCGTCAGTTCACTTGATCAGACAAAAGTAATTTTTTCTATGCTATAAGTATTCATGCACAGAACACATAATTATATAATTCCGATTTGTTGCAGTCTCCTCATTGCTGAATTTTCTTTAGAGCTTCCTAAAAAATTTTAATTTATGTAAAATTTTCCCGATTTCTTGAAATTGCCATCATTTTATCCGCAAAATCTAAATATCTGCAGAGTTCTGAAAAGCCTGCAATTCGAGTAATTATGTCACGGTAGATGAAATCACCTGTAGAAAATTAGTTGAAACGATATGGAATATCTTCGCAGACATCAGGCCAGGCACACAAACCAGTCGTGGTTTATGTTACAAAGGAATTTTGAAAACTCAACAGATCGGGCTTGGTCGTAACAAAGTAGTGAAAAATACAAAATGATAAAAGATTTACTACAAAATAAATTAAAATGGCAGCCTTAAACCAAATAAACAATATGTACTTTGCCGCCATCTATCATTTAATAGTTTACTTATTAGAAAAAAAGATCAATAAAGTTCAGCATTTTAGAAGAATTCTTTTAGAAGACGAATCATTTAATTTCCTGAATCAATCATTATTCGACTTTCTCAAATTATTCCAAAGACTACTTACAGAATAATATAGTTAAGGATATTTATAAAAGTTTGGGTATATATTACTAGTAATGAAATTCAATGACATTAAAAGTTTGATTTCGAAAATTATATGACATATCACCAACTGTTTGTCGATAGATCAGTTACATGGTAGGGGAAAATACGAGTTCGTAGCATCACCGAGAGATGTCGCCATAAACCTGAAAGTAATGATTTTCAAGTTGAAATGTGTTTATACGTGTGCCTGGGACATTATTTGAAACAAGGGTTGAAGGACAACGACTATTACTTGTTTACAATGAAAAGGTCCGAAAACCAATTTTCGACCAAATTTCTGTAGAGTGCGATGGTTTGTGTGCACTGTAACTGACACTTTTTTATTTTAATGGTGTATTTTTCTAATGGTATTCTCTGCAGGGCACTCATTCTTGAAGAATTTTAAGTGAAAATATGACATGATATGATAACGGAATATTATAGAATGAAAATATTGTGGAATATATAGCTCAGAATTTGTTTGATTTTGAAGGGTTCGTTATTTATTTATTAATTTATTTATCTGTACATTGTTCTATAGATTACACCCAACTACAGAACAGGGACATAAGTCAAATTACAATACAATACAATTACAATAAGTTATAAGATGTAGCTGAAGTAAAAAGACTTAATCTTAGAGATGGAACAGTAAAAAATGTCGAGCTGACAACTTGCAGAATTGCATTTGACACACATATTATGCAGAGGTGAACGTTTCAGAATATTTGTACGTGGTGTTGGCAGATGAAAAGGATTAACCAAGCTAGAGGTTGGTCTAGGTACATTGAAATTCAGTTTTTGCAGAATATGTGGGTCAATAATTAAATTATTAATCAGTTTAAAAAGAAAAATTGTGGAGTGACAACCACGACGGCAACTCAAGCTATTCATAGCATGTCTAGCATCATGGGGAAATCCAATTGGTGCTTAGATATTGTCTGATCTATAGAACAGAAGTTTTAGGAAACGGCGTTGTACTGATTCAACTTCTTCTGTATACACCTGATGATATAGATTCCAGATTATGGATGCATATCCTAATTTTGATCTAACGAAAGCAGAGTATAAGGTTTTCGATGTAGATGGAACCGCGAAATCTCTGGAGATTCGTGCAATAAATCCATAAATTCTGTTTGCAGCAGACAGAATGGCTTCAATGTGTGGTACGAAGGAAAGTTTTGTGTTGAAGGTAACACCTAGATCGGTGAATGTGAGAGGCCGTTAAAGTGGAATATCGTTTATTAAATATTGATATTGAGTGGACGATTTTTTAGTGTGTACGTCATTACATTACATTTACTCGTGTTTAAAGGAAGTATTGCGAAAACACCATTGCTCAATACGTTTCAGATTGAGGGAGAGTTGAAGACAGTCCTCGATGCCATTGATCTCACAATATAATTTCAGATCATCCGCGTATATCAAACAGTCGATGTCAATGACCTCAACTATGTCGTTTATGAAGGCTTCAAAGAGAAGTGGACCTAGGTTGCTTCCTTGTGGAACACCCGAGGTAGCTGCATATTCTACGGACTTGAAGCCATTGAATATAACATACTGATGTCTGTCAGTGAAGTATGATATATGACTTTCATTGTTCCTTTCTCGGCTAAAATAAATATATTTATAGGTATGGTCATAGGGTAGAAATTGAAAACAGTGCTAGTAGATTTTGGATCATTCTTGCAACGTTTAGGTATACCTACTTGCACCTTGCACTTGCACCTTGCAAGTAGGTATAAACAAGCAAGGAGCAAGGTTTGTCATTGAATATTTTTGAAATGAGGACACCTTTAAAAT